TTCCTCAATAAAACATCATAAATAATTATAAGTTACAATTATATCAAACATTAGAAGTTATAACCGGATGAAAAATTAACCGTGATTGTTGCCTTTTGAAACCGTGTATGAACATCCAACTTACCTTATGAAAGCATCTCAAATTTGCCGCACACAAATTGGTACGCAATAGCGCAGAAGAAGCACCAGCACACTGATCCTGGACGACGACCAAGACTGATGGTACCTTTGGATACCAAAAATCTACAAGAGGAGCCCACCGCTATAGTTAAAGGTAGGGCTGGTAGTCATTCGGATGGGTGATCAAATGGTTATTTAAAAATTAAATTAAAAAAAAATAAATTTAGATTGATTTTAATAGTTTTTAAATTTTATTATTTTAGTTTGTTATTAATTAAATAAATTTTAATTTGATTTTAGTTGAAATTTTTAAAATTTAAAAATTGAATTGAGTTTTTTAAAAATTAAAATTTTGATAAATATGATAAAATATGATATAAAATATAATTTATTATTAAAAAATAATTAATATGTATTTGATAAAAATCGAAACCAAACCAAATAAAACTAATTTTATTTATAACTAAATCAATCAATTTATAAAAAATTTGATTCGATTTTAATTTTTAAAATTAAAAAAAAAATTAATTAATTCAAAATCAATTTCAATTTAAACCAAAACTCATTTTTACCCACCCCTAATCAAAGGTATCTTGAATTACCACACACATTGCTGTACAATGACCTGGAAGAAGCATGGGGCGCGCCTTTTGATGGAGAAATATAAAGATATATTAAAGCAAAATCGAAAAAACTTTTTTATGTTCACACTAACAAATTAGATAAGTTTTATTTTGAACCCTGAATTGAATTGGAACCGGTTCAAAAATACTTTCTTTTCAAAAATTTTCAAAAATTATGTTTTTCTTATTTATTTCCCTTTTTATTTTTATTAACTAAAAATAACCTGCACCATTTTTTACCAAAAAGTCTAAAGCTCGTCTTTCCCTCTTCTCCACCACAAACTGAAACCCTACCTTCCTCATTGCTGCCGAATCTCCTTCCTCACCAAAGCTATGGCCGTCGTCGATCTTCATCATCTTCTCTCCTTCATTGCTGTCGAACCCCTTCCTCACCAAAGCCATGACCCTCCCTTCCTCATTGCTGTCGAATCTCTTTCCTCACCAAAGCCATAGCCGTCGAGCATTCCGGATCTAACAAATCATGAAGCGTCAATCTTCATCATCTTCTCTCCTTCATTACTGCCAAACCGCTTTCTCACCAAAGCCATTACCCTATCTTTCTCATTGTTGCCGAATCTCCTTCCTCACCAAAGCCATGGCCGTCGAGCATTCCGGATCTAACAAATCATGGCGTCGATCTTCATCATCTTCTTTCCTTCATTGCTGCCGAACCCCTCTCATGGCTGTCGGACCACTTGCAGGCCAGACCTAACAAACCACCGCAGCCCTCTTTTTTTTTTTTTTTTTTTTCCCTTGATCATTGCTGTTTTTCCCTTTTTCTGTTCGTTCTTTGTGTTGATGGTGATTTCTGGTTGCAAGCATTGATCAAAAAGACCAATCTTAACCCAAGAAAGATTTGGGTATGCTCCAGCTACTCAACTTTGGAGAGGTAGACTCCATGTGATGCGTGGCAGCAATGAGAATCGACATACACCAGGATTAAAGCATTGGAGTCTTGCTGTTAAGGATGGAAAACCTTTAGAGAATGAGTGGAGGAATGAGATACCTATGACAAATGGTGGACCTCACAGGTTTGTAGATATGTCCTCTGGATGAGAATGCTATTTGTGTAGTTGAAACATGGAAATTGTTTACCTTTCATTAAATGAAATTAGCATATTCACTTAAGATTTGAACTCTTTGCAAATTCCTCATTAACATTTTA